ATGGCGTGATCTTGGCTCACTGCAACCTCCACCTCCTGGGTTCAAGTGATTCTCCTGCCTCAGCCTCCCGAGTAGCTGGGATTACAGGTGCCTGCCACCTGTAATGACTGGCTAATTTTTTTTTTTTTGTATTTTTAGTAGAGATGGAGTTTCTCCATGTTGGCCAGGCTGGTTTTGAACTCCTGAACTCAGGTGATCTGCTTGCCTCAGCCACCCAAAGTGCTGGGATTACAGGCGTGAACCACCGCTCCCAGCCCAACTTATATTCTTTGTGCTTCAGCTCAAATCCCTTTCGTCTTGCCCCTGGTGAAGCCTATGAGGTAACACTGTACCCACCCCTTGGGGAAGTCCCATTGGTAACAGAAGTTCCCTCTTTCATGTGGGTGTGCGCCCTGTCATTTGCGCATCCACTCTAAGTGGCCTGGGTCCTGCTCCTCTCTGCCCTAACTCCCCAAAGCCAATTCCACAAATCTTCGAAAATGACAGGTGGGACACTTCTAAGTGTGATGTGTCCTCTCCTTTCCCCACCGCCTCCTCAGCCCAATCAAAGTTAGGGACCACTAAGCCAGGGCCTCAGCTTCCTGGGCTCTGAGATGGTTTGCAGGAGGGACAGGGGTGCTGGGCCCACTCAATCCGCTGTGGCTGTGCAGAGGAAGTGGCTGTCGGCTTTGGTAGAATTGAGTCCCAGAACCCAGGCAATGACAAGGGGGTAGCGTGGGGGAAGTGTAGGAGAGGGGCCTGAGAAGTGGAAGTGGGAACTGGCCATGCTGGGCTCTCCCTCCCGGTTCTCGTCCGCCCCTCCTCCATTTCCTCTTGGGGATGAGGGTGGGGAGTGGCCTCTCACCCCAAATGTCAGCCCTACCTCCCGCTCCCTCGCAGGACCTCAGCACGCAGCTGTCAAGGACAGGCACCCTGTCTCGAAAGAGCATCAAGGCCCCTGCCACACCCGCCTCCGCCACATTGGGGTGAGGCCTCGCCAACTAGCCTAGCCCTACCCCGCGCGACCCTGAAACTCTCCTCCCCCAGCCTCGCCACCCACCCCTGGCGCCTGGGTGCTCAGGCTGTCATGCTGGATGCCTGGCGCCAAACCTCCCCCTCAGCCACATGCCTTTCCTGCTCACACCCGACCCCTGCTGGCCAGAAGCCTTCCTCCTTCCTCCTAATACCCACTCCCCGACCCCCGCCAGGAGACCACCCCGGATTCCCGAGCCAGTGCACCTCCCGGTGGTACCCGACGGCAGACTCTCCGCCGCCTCCTCCGCCTCTTCCCTGGCCTCGGCAGGGTGAGACCTACAAGCCTGCGTGGGAGGGTGAGGGGTGGGAGGTGGCTTTTGAGAGGGGCCTCCTGCCAGTGGTCATAGTGACTCCTGGGCTTGAAAGGACCCAGTTAGTCCTGGGTCACACGTGCAGGGCTGGGTTCAGGATTGGAGGAGTGGGGCCAGCTGGGGATGCTGCATTAGGGAAGGCGTGTCGCCAACCGGGCCGAGCCCCGCTTTCTCTGGTGTTCAGCAGCGCCGAAGGTGTCGGTGGGGCCTCCATGCCCAAGGGGCAGGCAGCACCTCCAGCCCCACCTCTCCCCAACTCCTTGGACCCACCTCCTCCACCAGCAGCCATCGAGGTGTTCCAGCGGCCTCCCCCGCTAGAGGAGTTGTCCCCACCCCCACCGGGTAAGGAGCTCCGCCCCCTTCTTCTTCCCAACCGTGGGGTCGTTTTTCCGCCTCCTGCCATTCCCCAGCCCACCTCTCTTGGATCTGCCCCGGCCAGCCTCAGTGAATGCCTCCTCCATGGAGCGCAGCACGGGAGCGAAAGGAGGCGGAGGAAGTGAACTAACATAACTTAGCGCCTGCTGTATACCAGACCCTGTGTTCGAAACTTCTCGTCCATTTTCTTATTTAAACTTAATCCTGGCCGGGCGCGATGGCTCATGCCTGTAAACTCAGCACTTTGGGAGGCCGAGGCGGGCGGATTACCTGAGTTCGGGAGTTCGAGACCAGCCTGACCAAAATGGAGAAACCCGGGCTCTACTAAAAATACAAAATTAGCCGGGCGTGATGGCACATGCCTGTAATTCCAGCTACTTGGGAGGCAGAGGCAGGAGAATCGCTTGAACCCGGTAGGCAGAGGTTGCGGCTAGTGGAGATCCGGCCATTGCACTCCAGCCTGGGCAACAAGAGTGAAACTCCCTCTCAAAAATAATAATAAACTTAATCCTAAAGGCCAGGTGGAGTGGCTAACGGCCGTAATCCTAGCACTTTGGGGGGCTGTGGAGGGCAGATCACTTGAGGTCAAGAGTTTGAGACCAACCTGGCCAACATGGCTAAAAATACAAAAATTAGCCTGGCTGGTAGTGCATGCCTGTAATTCCAGCTACTCAGGAGGCTGAGGCAGGAGGATCACTTGAACCCGGGAGGCCTCGAGGCTGCAGTGAGCTGAGATCACCCCACTGCACTCCAATCTGGGTGACAGAGCGAGATTCCCTCTCAAAAAAATAAAACAAAACAAAATAAACTTAATCACGAGAGGGTCCTTAGCACTCTTCCTTAATAGATGAAGCCACTGAAGCTGAAGTTCAGTGACTTGCCCAAGAGCCACCCAGCTAATAAGAGGTAGAGTCTGACTGTCCTCTAGTGCTGGATCTTTCAGGGTTTACTGAGCACTTACTATGCGCTAGCACACTGTGGGAGGACCAGGACAGGAGAGGGCTGGAGGAAGACTGCATGAGATGGGTGCATTCTTTTTCTTTTCTTTTGAGATGGAGTCTCACTCTGTCATCCAGGTTGGATGGAGTGCATTGGCAAGATCTCAGCTCACTGCAACCTCCACCTCCTGGGTTAAGCCATCCTCCTGCCTCAGTCTCCTGAGTAGCTGGAATTACAGGCGTGTGCCACTATGTCCAGCTAATTTTTGTATTTTTAGTAGAGATGGGGTTTCACATGTTGGCCAGGCTGGTCTCGAACTCCTGACCTCAGGTGATCTGCCCACCTTGGCCTCCCAACGCGCCTGGCTGAGATGGGTGGATTCTGGGGCCCAGCTCTCGAGCAGATCCCTGACACACTGAAGGAGCTTCCTGTGCCACACTTACAGCCTTTCTGCTTTTCCCCCAAGACGAAGAGCTGCCCCTGCCACTGGACCTGCCTCCTCCTCCACCCCTGGATGGAGATGAATTAGGGCTGCCTCCACCCCCACCAGGCTTTGGGCCTGATGAGCCCAGCTGGGTGCCTGCCTCATACTTGGAGAAAGGTACCTGACTTCTGGGACTGAGGGGCACCGGATCCCACTTCCTAGCTTCTGCCTCTGTTGTCCTGACCCCCATTCTCCTCCCTCTGCAAAGGTGTGAATCTATCCCCCGGGCTCCCTACACAATTTTTCTGACGAACTGAGTTCAGAACAGAACTGGGGCGAGGGCAGCTGGCTTGGTATTAAATATTAACTAAGCTGGGGAGGGGTCCTAAAGGCTTGGAAGCCCCTCAAGATGGTCCCTAGAGTCTAGTACTTGAGACCCTGCATCCCCATGGCGGTGGGGGTGGTGGGGGGGAGAGGGCAAGAGGCATATCTCACAGCACCCTCTTCTTTTGCCCTGCAGTGGTGACACTGTACCCATACATCGGCCAGAAGGACAATGAGCTCTCCTTCTCTGAGGGCACTGTCATCTGTGTCACTCGCCGCTACTCCGATGGCTGGTGCGAGGGCATCAGCTCAGAGGGGACTGGATTCTTCCCCGGAAACTATGTGGAGCCCAGCTGCTGACAGCCCAGGGCTCTCTGGGCAGCTGATGCCTGCACTGAGTGGGTTTCATGAACCCCAGGCCAAAACCAGCTCCAGTCACGGCTGGACTGGGTCTGTCCAGCTCTTGGGCTGTGAGCTGTGTTCTGTCCCTCTTCCCATCGTGGAGGGAAGGGGTCCTGCGGAGAGAGAACTTACCCAGAGGCCTGTTGCAGATGGGGAAGAGCTGGAAACCAAGAAGTTTGTCAACAGAGGACCCCTACTCCATGCAGGGCAGGGTCTCCTGCTGCAAGTCCCAACTTTGAATAAAATGGATGACGTCCTGTGACTGCCCCACGGAGATAAGGGGCCAGGAGGGATTGAAAGGCATCCCAATTCTAAGGCTGCTGCTAATTACAGCCCCCAACCTCCAACCCACCAGCTGCCCCAGAAGCAGCATCTTTCCAGTCCCTCAGTACCCACAAAGTGCAGCCCACATTGGACCCCAGACACCCCTCTGCAGCCATTGACTGCAACTTGTTCTTTTGCCCATTGCTTGCTGTGTGTGTGATGTGTTCATATGTGGCCCAAGAGTGGGAACCATCTCCCTGACTTAAGCGGGACTCTCCTAGAGCACCTCACTCTCAACTCAGACTGACGCGCCAGAGATCTCAGTCATTTCTTCCCCCTTCACCTCCTTTATAGTTGTAAAACACCAGAGGAAGGAGGGGCTTGGGTTTCGCTGATTCTGCTTAAAAAAAACATCATGGCTTTCTGTTCCATGGGGGTGGGGAGGGGGATGCGTGGAGGGCCCAGCCCGCAAGGGTGACTTTGGTAAAGTCCCTGGTCTCTTGCTGCATAGATGAGGCTGGGGTGCAAGGAGACACCGTCACACGCTGCGAGGTTATTGGCTGGCAGGACCCGGGCCGGACGGTGCACTACCTCGTACCACCACCAGGAGGCGATTGTTCCCTCTGGCTTTTCCGTTGGGGGTGCTAGAAGGGAGTGCGGAGGTCGGAAGGCAAGAGGGTGTAGACAGCACAGAAATAGTGTGGGGT